ATTATTTATTCTATTCCCACTAATCTCATTAATACTTTCATTTCAAATTCTTACATTTGATCTATAAATTTAATTAACACTGAAAAATACAACCACATTAAATAATTATTATGAGATTATTTTTTATATTTTGTAAGAAATTATGGTGGAAATGACCTTTTCAACTAAATTAAAACGCTAGTAGGTGCCAGTAGTGAGCGTTTAATGAGTGAGTCATTGAGTCGTTCATTCAAACGATTCGTTCAGACGGCAGATTCATCAGATGTTTACGCATGGGCTAATGAAACTTTAACTCAACCGATTCCTTCAAAACACGGAATCAATCAACAATGAATCGTCTGGTTGCTGTGAGATGCGTTGTGTATCCGCCTAAAATGCAAGTGACCTAATATTATTGTATTTGCTTATTGAACTGTTTATATAACTATTAAACAGTCGTAATGGTGAAAACGTTGTGTGATGTTGCCTAACTAACTGAATTTTAAATATAAAAACTTTCCATTTTAAATGTTTACCTCAGGATGCTGAGTTTCTTAGTGTTGCGCGTTTTGTTTTCTCCTGGAGAGACTGCGGGAGCCTCGCCTCAGAAGCGCAACATTATTCTGCATTATATACAGTAGCTATATCCACTATTCGCCGAACATCTTCATATGATTGGAACTCTACACAGCTCCCGCGCTACTCTCCATTGGAAATTAATGACTTTCGGTCAGTCATTTGTCGGAGATAGTGGAAAGCCGGCTTGAAACGCCAGAAAGACGAATTTTTATTTGTGCTGTCATTAGTAATTTCTTTATTTGTTCTTATTTTATTATTAACCGCTTAGCCTCCTTGTCATTTTTTTATTCAATTCAGAGTTTGAAGTCAAGTTATCTCGTGCTACCGTGACTGGAGTAATGATGCTAAAGCTCTGCTTTGAAATCAAAGGAATAAATTATATTTTCAAATAGAAAGCAGTTATTTTAAATAGTAAAAATATTTCAGTATGTTACCATTTTTGCTGTATTTTGGATCAAATAAATGCAGGCTTGGTGAGCAGAAGAGAATTCTTTAAAAAACATTAAAAATCTTACTGTTCACTTACTTAAACTTTTGACTGGTATGTTAGCCTATAGTTTGAAGTAAAAAATATTAACATTAATAAGGAGAGTCTGAGATTTATTTGACAGTGATTTCACATTTCTTGTTTGTATGAAGGCTAAATACCAATAAAAGGTGAACATTTATTTATTTGCGCCATTTTCTTCCAAAAATATTATATAGTTTTATAGGAGTAGGTTTCATAGAGTTGGCAAATTAATTTTTCATAAGTTTGTAGGTACAGACATCTGTTGTGGCCGTTCTTGGCCGTTTTTATGAGGCTTTTTTTATAGTGTTCATATCGATATCGGAATTATATCATATCGACCGAAATTAAGAAATATATCGTGATATAAATTTTGCCATATCGTCCAGCCCTATATGACAGTATATTCTGCAGTTCTTCCCTGCTGTACGAATATCTATACTTTTCAAAGTGTCATATCGAAGTTAGAAATTCAAATATTGTGACAAAACTAATTTTTTAGGGTGCCACAAATTTGTTAAAATTTCCAAAGGGTGCCGTGACTAAAGAAAGGTTGGGAAACACTGCTCTAGACCAATTAGCCATTTACAATTACTTTGACCTTGATTTATTGATTTTAAACATGTTTTGTATGTACATGTACAAAATATGTACATTGCCGTTCAAAAGTTAGTGGTAGTAGTAATTTTTTTTTGTTTTATACTCACCAAGTCTGCATTTATTTGATCAAAATACAGTAAAAGATTAATATTCTGAAATATATTACAATTTAAAGTTAACTTTTTTATACATTTTAAAACATATTCCTGTGATAGCAAAACCATTACTCCAGTTTTCATTATCAGTGTTAAAAACAGTTTGGCTTTTTAATAGTTTTGTGAAAACTGTGATATTTTCAGTATTCTTTAATGAATAAAAAGTTCAAAAGAACATAATTATTTGAAATAAAAATGTTTTGTAACAGAAATACATTTGCTGTCTTTGCTGTCACTTTTGATCAATTTAATGAATCCCTTCTGCATAAAAATTTGAATTTTTCTCAGGAAAAATCTTACTGACCCCAAACTTTTGAACTGTATTTTGAAAATGTTATCATGCTTAAATCCATTCGGCAGAATTCTGCTGATTATTCTCACTAAAATCAGTGCAGAATTCTGCTGAATGAATTTAAGCATGATAACATTTTAAAACAATACATTTCAAAACTCAATTAAAAATCAGTTTTAAAAAATTGCTGCTTCTGTCTGCACCTACCTATCAGCAATGATTAGAAACCTAATTCATAAACATACAGGGAAAGATTAAGCCCACTAATCCTCAAGGTGAAGAAATATTGACTCTGTCCAGTTCCTTTATAACAGTTCCTATATTAAATATTCCAGGCATAGCAGTTCAGATATAATGTACATTTAAACACTTCACAAGCTTTTCTTGTTTTATGCATGCAGTATTTCAGTACTCAGACAATACTGCTATCACCCACAAAATGAAGCAGGGACTCTCTGCTTGACACCAGCTATGTTACACATGAGTTGTGTGTCATTCCCATGAATGGAGGGGAAAGTGGGACACTTAAAATGCTCATACCATCCTCAAGATCAGTTTCACCACTAGAGCTGGCTGCAGGCAAGCATAGCCCTTTGTGTGAAAGCTGCAATTAAAGAGATCCAATCAGAGGAGCCAGTAGCATTTACAATGGCCCGGTCTAAAATTACAGTCTTGCTTGGGGTCATTCTGTCTTGACATGTAGCATTTGCCTGTTATGTGAATGATTATCTATATGATCGCTAATACAAAAGCCTTTTCATGATCTGGACAAACAAGGTCTGGAGCATTGCTTCAAGTAGGTTGTTTTGTAATGTTTATGCTTGACTTGTTTTTCTCTTTTTGTATTCCACAGTCTCGTACAATGGCCCGGTCTAAAATTACAGTCTTGCTTGGGGTCATTCTGTCTTGACATGTAGCATTTGCCTGTTATGTGAATGATTATCTATATGATCGCTAATACAAAAGCCTTTTCATGATCTGGACAAACAAGGTCTGGAGCATCAAGTAGGTTGTTTCTCTTTGTAATGTTTATGCTTGACTTGTTTTTCTCTTTTTGTATTCCACAGTCTCACGTGTCTTGTTCACTCTGTCCTTGCGCCAACCTCAAAGCAGGACAGAAAACGGTTGAAAAGTCCAAGGACAGTGATAAAGACAAAGAGGGAAGCGGAAGGAAAAAGATCCCAAAGATCTTCTTTGGCACTCGTACTCATAAGCAGATCACACAGATCGCACGGGAGCTCAAACGGACACTTTACTCCACCGTGCCCATGACGATACTGTCCAGCCGAGGACATACCTGTGTTCATCCTGAAGTGGTGCCTCATGCCAACCGCAGCGAGCGCTGCAAAGAGCTGCTGGAGGCCAAGAACGTGAGTCGGCCCCTTCCCATGTTACTTCATGTGACATTGCAACCACCTTTGAGCACAGGTTCTTCATTCAGCTGTCATCATTAGAGCCTCTCAGAGGGATAAAAGAGAGTAGACTTAGATATCTCCTGGTTCAATGAGTTCAAAGCCTGAACCCTGAACTCTGCCAATATTAGTGTTTTGAGAGAAACCTGAAGATCATCAATGAATCTCTTTCTCTTGGTTGTCCTAAAATCTCCACTTATATTTTGAAGACGTAAAAAAAAAAAAAAAAAAAAGGTAATTCTCAGAAACAAAGATTCTGGAAACATTAGGCCAAAAAAGCTTAATGTAGTACTAAAAGTACTTATTTTAAATTTAGCATTGTTGCCTTGTGGAGAGCTCTCCAACATACAGCGCTGTTGCGCTACAGGCGTCCCGAGTTCGAATCCCGTCTTGAGGACCTTTCCCGATCCCGCCCCCTGTCTCTCTCCCACTTCGCTTCCTGTCAGTTCTGATCTGTCCTATCATAATAAAGGTGAAAATGCCAAAAATAAATCTTAAATCCTAAATTAACCTTTGTTTGGAATAACTTAAATTTGATATAATATTTTTCATATTCTATGAATATTAGAATATTTTGTCATAGAAATAAATATTTAACACTTTTTTTTCTTGTTACTGTTTGTATAGCTGTATAGAGGTCAACACATTGCAGTTGTGCTTATGTTGTTCAGTGCAATGATGACATTAACCAAACAAAGAGTTAAGAAGTGTTAAATAGTTATTGTGCAATTGATTACATTAACATAATTTCAGCAATTGTCAGCAATGTATGAAGCACAGTTCATACAGAAGTCACTTTCAAACCAAAGATCTTGGACAATGCGGTGAATCCATGTGACTAACTTGAAACTGCTGCGAAATCTGCGTGGGGAAATCTTTTACGTGGATTTCCTGATGCCTATTGGAAATGACTGAACAGCAGTAAATGTTGAACCCTAACAGTTTCTGTCTGTGATGTTGGCCTGTTTTCTTTGGCTGCAAACCAGCGTTTGACTGAATATTAGCATTTTTGGTGGTCCAAATTGGTGGTGCATTATTAGAATGGTCTCATTTTAGATTTTTTTTATTTTTTATAATGGTGTTTTGTGTGTGTATAGCAAAAGATAACCCCTTCATCCACTATTTCCTCTGCCGTCCTACGTGTACAGGTCATGGCCTGTGCCCTATTCATCCTTAAGTGTTGGGCCTAAGTAGTGATCAACTCATCATGAATTTGTTAGCCATTGAATGTCTTGAATTGGATCTTGTGAACGGAGATTGACCCACTCTTTTCTGTGGAACCAAACACCTCGTTTCCTGATCTTCACAGGAGCCTGCAGGCCAAACAGCAAGTGTGGCCACTTATTCTGTGAACCCTCTTCTCCTTTCAGTATAACACTGTCGTAAGAAAAGAAGGCGAGCTGGCGACCCTGAAATGCAAACCCTCGCTTTAAGGTTTCACAAACTTAATCTCCATCACCAAAGCTGTGGAGAACAGTTACAGGCGATAATACCCCCAATCAGTCATACAGACCTTTTTTGTTGTGCAGCCTTGTCAAAGGCTTCAAACGCACTTTGTTCCAGTGGTAGCTTCGTTATTGTCCAGGTTGCTTAGTCTCTGACCATCGGGCAGCCCCCGTAATGATACCTATTATGCTGTCACCACAGGTGTCCACTCACCTCTGGACTGTGTCGCGCCCCTGCACATGAAAGCGGGGAAGACCGTGCCGACAACCCCGCTCGGAGAGAGGAGAGAATGAACTGTCGTTTTCCTCATCCTCCCTGGGGCCCCATCTCTTGTGTCTTTATATTAGCCCCACTCCGAGTCTTTATTCCGCTCTCCTGGTCTTACTGAATGGCTGAAGAGCATAGGCCTTTCAGACACTTGTCGTTAGGTCGCACACCCCTCAGCAGTGCCATCATCACTTTCATAAGAGTTTGAGGACAGGGGATCAAAACGGCACGATCAGGTTGACATTTATCCTGTGCTCTCATTGATGGCTAATCCCTCTTTGAGTATGTATACTGGAAGCTGCCATCAGCCTTTCAGCAACATGTTACAGGTTCCAGTGAATCACGAAACAATGCACAGATGCTTCCCTTTTCTGCAGGGAGACACACCTGCCTAAATAATTGTATAAAAAAACACATTTATTATAAACAAGTGTTAGGAATATTAATCTGTGTCCAATTAAGTGGTTTAATTGCAACAAAACATGTAAATGTTTTAATAAATGAATAGTTTATTGTATCAGTTCATGCATTCCCTGGGATTCAAACCCAAAACCTTGGTCTTGCTGGTGCTTGCTATGCATCTCAAACATGACCTATTTTCATAAAATAAAATGATAAATACATTTGGGTGTGTTTATTATAATTTCATGTCTTTCAGGGTCTGTCATGTCGGTACTACCACAATGTGCATAAAATGCGTGATCAGAGCACTTTACAGTGGGTTCATGGGCTACATCAGGCCTGGGACATTGAGGATCTGGTCCGTCTTGGCGGTAAGCTGCGGTCCTGTGCTTACTACGCAGCTCGGGAGCTCATGCAAGATGCTTGCATCGTGTTCTGTCCTTACAACTACCTGCTGGACCCCCTCATTCGTGAAAGTGTGAGCATCAATGCATAAACTACTATATAATCTATATAACATATGCATAAGCTGCTACATAATATAATGTAAAATGTAGGGCGTTTTTGCTTTATATAGATTTAAGACTGTTTTTGGTGTGTTGGTGTAATATATACACTAATAAATTAATAGTTTAAATTAAGTTACAGTTAAGAATTTTTTAATGTTACAAAAGTTTTCTGTTTTAAAAAAATGTTGTTCTTTTGAACTTTCTAATTCTATTCTCCAAATAAATAGAAAATCCATAAAAAAATCACAAGTTTCCGCAAAAATACTAAGCAGCAAAAACGGTTTTCAACATTGATAATTATAAGAATTGTTTCTGGACCACCAAATCATAGATTAAAAACAGATATTTTTAATTAATAATTATTTTAAGTAGTGTATATTTCACAATATATTGTTTTCTATATATTTGATGAAGCAAATGCATACTTAAGAAACTAAAAACATTAACGCAGCCTGTTCACTCATATTTTAAAGTAGTCAGTTGAAGTTTTCGAATAAGGTTGATGACACATTTGTTAGGATACTGTATTTGAAGGATTTTTGTATTTTTCCATATGGTGATAACTGTCATGTTGTTCCTCTGCCAGATGGAAATCAATCTGAAGGAGCAGATTGTGGTGCTGGATGAGGCTCATAACATTGAGGACTGTGCCCGTGAGAGTGCCAGTTACACACTGAACCAAGCTCAGCTGTTGCTGGCGCGGGATGAGATGGATGGAATGGTGACACACAACATTCGGCGCGATCAACACAGGCCTCTGCTAGCCTTCTGCTGCAGCCTTGCCAAGTATGGCCCATCTTTTCTCCAACAGTTTCTCATCTTAGGCAGTAGGATATCCATATTCTGCTTCATCATATGATGTAATATGTCGGAGATCTGTTTTCTGAAGATTCTTGATATTTCTTAATTTGGACAAATCTGTCATTTGTGTTAACTTGTGAGCTTAATATTGCTCTTTAAAAAAGAAAGGAAGTTAAATTCATTATGTTTGTTTCCTTACAATTATATAGTTGGGTGCAGGAAAGCTGCAATAGCTTAGAGGAGCGTGAATATGAGTCTTCCTGTAAGGTCTGGACAGGAGCCGAGATTCTTGGCATCTTTCATGGCCTTGGCATCACAGCAGACACCTTCTCTTTGCTACAGGTATCCTTCCTCCATGTATCTTCCTCCCCTTTGACCAGAAGGAGTATACTAACAGTCTATCCCCTTTTTTTATCTGATTTGTCTCTGCTTTGTGTAGAAAAACCTGGCAGCAGTGCTGGAGAAGGAGGAGCGGATTGGGCTAGTGAACGGGAGAGAAGACGTGGTGCAGGTTCCCACCATCAGCTCCAACACTCAGTCAATGCTCAAAAGCCTCTTTATGGTGCTGGAATTTCTTTTCAGACAAAATTGCAGGTCATTATCACAAACTACCCATCATTCTTCTTACCTTGCTATCTCTAAAAAGGTTTTTGGCAGTGATTTTTAAAGACCCCTTGAAATCACAATTGGAGTTTTATGGCTTCTAGTCCATGTCTTTTAGCTTTAAGGCTATCTTTATGCTGGTGTACTCCTAAAAGCTGACCAGATTTAAGTGTAAAATTTACAGAGGAACCATAAATTCAAAATAAACTACAAAAAGTAAAACAATTAATTTTTAAAATCAGATACGCTATTAAAACATTGCTGTCCAAATTCTATCATACTTGCAAGTCGCAGGATAGTGAGGTTTGGTGAAATTATTTTAATGACAGAGTCTTCAGGAAACTTCATGGCCAAATAAATTTAGCCTAATTTAATAATGGCAGCAAAATCGTCACAAATGTATGTTAAATAATCGACATGTGATCCAGCCCTAGTTTAATGAATGAAGATAACTTCCAATGTATTTTAGTGTACTTGATAATCCTTGTCTAATGTTCTACTTCATGCTCTAGTAAACCACTTTATTTATTCTATTTTCATCTGTTAGTTTTACTTGATTTTTCTTTTTGTGAATATGTACAGGTTTGCAGATGATTACCGTGTGGCCCTCCAGCAGAGCTACATGTGGACCACCCAGCAGGACCTGCCTGACGCTCAGGGCTTTTTCGCACGACCCCAGCGTCGCCGACAGAGCACCCGCACCAAAACTCTGGTGCACACCCTGAGCTTTTGGTGCCTCAACCCTGCTGTGGTGAGAGCAACTGTTTTTTTTTCTGCAGTACTTTTAAAATCTCATTGGGATGTTGTCAGTATGAGTATGAATCATAAGCTATTATGGCTGGTGGTGTGTGTCACGACAGGCATTTTCAGATCTGAGCGGCTCAGTACGGAGTGGTAACAGGTTAAATTACTGAAAGCCATTGAAAAATACTTTGTTCCTCATTGTTTGTTACGTTTAGCTCATGAATAATTCAGCCCTATTCAAGCTGCCTGTCATGATGTATCCTCAGAGGGGATGATTACCTTTCTTAAATATCTATCTCTGTGTGTGTGTGTGTGCGCGTGCATGTACGTCTTAATGTTAATGTACATTAATGTACAATTCCAATATATTTAATCTAATATATTTAGTCTACCAGGATCATAGTATGCTTCCCCAACTTTAACACAAGAACCAGTTTCTTTATACATTGACCACATAAATTCCCTATTGTATATCATGTCCATGTATGAATGTTCCATGTGGATTAATATTTAATCTGGAAACTGAGCAGTTTAGCGACTCATTGGAGACTGTAGAGGTTCTGGAGCCTGAGAGTCCCGTCTGAGGAGGAGCAGACCATCTGTAGTCTCCAGACACCTCTTAAAACTCCTTCTTGATCCCTATCTCTCCACTTCAAGGGACCATGTCGATGTGTGTCTGTTCTGGCTATTTGTCCACATGACACCAATTGTGCTATAACACCCTCAGGCCCCTCAACAATATCATTCAGAAATCACACAAATAGACAACCAAGCGCTTTACGGTTCTCAAGGTGTGGTTTTGCAACTTCCAACCCGTCTCAGTTGGACCCTGTTAATCACATTGCCCCATGTTGTCTGGCATGACCTCATGACAAGAAGGGCTAAACAGCTAAGAGGGCCTGCTTATTAAATGTGGGCTAGGAAAGGTGAAAAGATCTTGTGGAAACGCAGGATGCTTTTAAAGCAGATTAAGATAAGGGCCATTAGAACTGACGTCGCCAAGCTGTCTGTGTAAAGATGCATCTAAACTGGCGCCTGGCGCTTGAGGTGGGGTGAAAAGGAGGGGTTGGTGGATGTATCTGTGCATCTTGCATCCTCTCAAAGTCAAAGTGCTCTACAGGGGGTCTGAGCAGGCTATGAGCCCCCAAGGCCTCTCAGCATATTGTCTGCAGTCTCAGCAGTATCAGTAAAGGCACATGTGATTCATGGGATTTCTATTACAGAGATACTGTATTTATTTATATAACATTCTTATGTTTTTTTTTATGATTGTAAATTGTGTGTGTATTTACACACACAATTTATGTATTTATGTATATGTGTGTGTGTATTTACACACACACACACACACACACATATATATATATATATATATATATATACCGGTATACGCCTTTTTCCTTATGAGTCTACTGCGTTTTAAATTATAGAAGGCATTTCTGGTTTGGGTTCCACTCAGAAAGACTGCAACAACAAATCATTTCGGATCATAAGATTGCACTACCAAAAATCTTTATTCGTCATTTTCACTGAGTGGGCTGTAAATTTTCATTCATTTTCTATTTTCAGAAGTCAGGAGAATAATGTTACGTTAGATATATTAATGTGACGTGATATAACAACTTCTATAGAAATTCTTTTACAATTTTAATTTTCCTTTTAATGATCGATGGTTAAAGGGTGAATAAAATGTCACCTCATTGTACCCTGTTTTTGAAAATGCTTATTATTGCGTTCATAGATCGAACCTGTTGCTGATTGTTTACCGTGTAAACGGAAGTTACTCCCATAATTTGTGTAGGAGAAAGGTGGATATAATTAAAAATTTTCGAATTTTTATATAAATGGACCATATAATAGCAGCAGTGCTATATCCCACCACTAACTTCTCTTTTCTCAAACAATTCACATTCATTTACTTATTAGCTGGAGGAAGTGAGATTGTTCTGCTCAAACTCCGTCCATTTCAGATGTGTATCAAAGTAAATGTTTATGTACTATGCTGTCATGCCACTGTAAAGTGTGTAAGTCTCCATTAGTGAGGCATGCCCTTATTCCAGCTATAGCTCTTTACTAGATAACAACAGATCCATACTTCAGCAGATCTTGTTCTTTATCTGTGGAGTTCAGTTCTCACTGTTGGCCTCACACTAATGGCCTGCTCCACGTCAGCGCTGAAGAGTGTGGGTGCTTGCAGGCAGGTGGCAGGGGCGCCACTCTGCTCTGTCCTCGGCGTGATCGTCACTGTGATATTTGACAGCTGAATTATTTACAGCAGCTACACGTCTTCTCCTGCTGCCACCAGGGCCCTATGTTTCATTTATGCCACCCTACAACCTAGTTTGTCCATTATTTAGAGGCCTTTTGCAAAGAAAAAAACAGTAATGTGTTGCCACATGACAGAATGGCATCAAGGTTGGAGGAAAATAGATAACGAGCAGTGTAGGTGGCAGAGGAAATGAGAGCGAGAGAGAGAGAATGCACAGAGTTGTGCCTCACGGTGCCACCTCACCACAATGTCCCCTCGGAGAACTGCATCCGGTCGACTTAATCTAGCATGGTGACACAAGCTGAGTGATGCATATATTTAGTTGACTAACCACAATGAATTATTCACCTTTTGTTGTGCCTGTGGATGTTCGCTAGATAGTCTTCACTCCACTTTGTTTTATCAACAGCTTCTCTAAATGTTAGCCCATTCTTGTGTAGACATCTCTGAGATGTGACCCTTGTCTCTTTACTGTCAAGGGCATAAACATTCACATGTACACAAACAGTTTGATTATTCCCAATAGTCAGAGTAAGGCTTTACTAAGATTAAGATGGTTACGCCATCAGACCCACTGACACTCCACTTGCCCTAATGTTGTTTATTTTCTAAGAATTATGGCTGTTTAACCACCATTTTGTTACTTAGAAATTTTAATAGTGAATCAAGACATGTTCTGCTAAAATAGATTTTCAAAATATTTCTGATTCAGCTAGATATTGTTAGATTGTGTAATTATATCTTTATATTTTTGGAGTCATTTGTACAGTTTTGAATAAAATAGTTTTAATCTAAGCATTCCATTTAACGTGAGAAGTTTATACATCCTAGGATTTTATTTGTTTGTTTGTTCATTATCTTTTTTGTGTGTGCTTTTAATCACCAATGTCAAGACTCTCGTTTAATAAAAATGGCAAAAAATAAGTGTAGACACAGACAAAACTTATATTGGGTGAATACAAGGGGAGATTGAACCATTAAAACAAACTACATAATTTACTACAATGTTTTGTTATTTACTATTGTAACAGGCTACAGGTTTTACCCAGCTTTTAGAGAAGTGGATTGACTTAAGGTACATGACATTTGATTCACTTCTGTCTCCTTTTTATGTACATGATCAGCTGAGAGTCACCTCTTAGTAAATATAATTGACTTTGTGATCAATGTGTCTGTTGTTGATCTGTTGCAGATAATGCTAGTTTGCCACAGAGTTCTGAAGATGTGAGATTCTGGTCTGCTGTAACGGGGCCTTGAATAAGACATGAGAGTGGGTCACTGATGTTGTGTGCTCCCAGTCCTCGGGAGAAGTGTGAGAGACGAGGTGTCAGAAATGGGGCTGCATACACCTTATACACTCATACTGATGGTTAAATGTAGCCTAGTACTTTGTTGTTAAGCACTCTCACACGTCACTGTAATATTATCATTGGAAATCATTATATTAGCACTTTAAACCTTTTTTAATTTGAGATTAAGCAGTCATTCTCCAGATGTACACAATGAAATGACTACATGAGGTTAAATGCCTCCTATCATTTGTCGGAGCTTGTTTGGTATTAGTGTGTTCATGTCGTTTTTGAGCACGCCATCTGTTTGATGGCACTGTCACTGACCTCAGAGAGGGATGGTATAGGGTCACTTCTGCCATGTTTGTGCACCTGAGCCTCAGCCAAGTGTGCAGATTGACATTTTCATTCTGCTGTGTCCTGGTCTAGGCCCTGTGGAAACAGCGCTGCTCTTGTCAGATAATGCCTATGAATTAGACATGAAGGCCATGTGCTCATCCCATCACCACCACCCCCACAAACTCCCATTCCTTGTCCTAACATCTTAAAACACAAGTGCACACTTGCAGTGACTAATTTCATTTGGCAACATTGGATGCTGTCCATTTATTCTGTCATTGTTTTTGTTTAATAGATCAAATGTGAGGTGTTACGGGTATACTGGTGATAAGATGGATGGATGTATAGTTAACTGTATATAGGATAGACACTGGTGATACAAGTGATACGATAGATAGATAGATAGATACGACAGAGAAGATACACTATATATAGAAATATAATTTTTTTTATTTAGTTTACATTTATATTCATCTTCCTGTGGCCAATTCAATTCAAATTCCATCTCACAAATTAAAAAGGAGCTAATTTTTCATTTCCAAACTTGAAAAATATGAAGTCTGTAAAGAGTCTATAGAATTGAACAGCTGGTGATAATCTTGAGTTTCTAGCTCACTGCTGGCTGGCTTGTCTTTTGGTTTTTCAAACTACGGCTCTAGTTTGTCAAGATGAGGGATGTGGAAAATATGCCTGTAATGAAATGACTGCATAGAAGCAGACATAGAATGATGTTTACTCACAGTGTCTGTGAGATAAAAGCATTAGGACCATTACCCTTTGAGCCAAGGGACTCCTGGAGTGGCACTGTATTGTATTTCGTCCGCTTTTATAAGGCCTTACAAATTACAGCTCTGGGAATATAAACAACAAGCTTATACAAGGAGTCTTTGTGCTTGCATGTGTCCCTGTCTTTTAAGGGCCAGCATTTTATTATCAGGTTACGCTCCGGTCATTATCGTGTTACACTTCAGACCAAGCACAAATTAATAACGCTGACCCTTAAGGTAAATTCAAGATGCCGAATACACCTTCCAAACCCATCAGTTGTATCCATCGAAACAAGACCATCCATGTATCAATTTTTCCTCCTCCACCTCTTATGAACTCTTCCTCAGAAATCTGAATTTCCACCAAGTACAGGGTGTATAATGTGCTGTTTTATTCTTTGGGCATTCTACTGAGAGAGAGCATTAATAATTCACCTTTCAGGGCTGTACATTAACTTTTTTTGCACATAGCACTGGTGCTACAGAGGTGGAAAGTTTTGTAGCACAGGCCAAACAGTTGTAGCACAAGTATAAAACGTAGGTTATCATGTCTGAAAACGAACACAAGTAATGGAGTACATCATTTAAACAGGCATTGATGTTCCATACAGAGCACAAAAATACAAACCATCACAAAAATAGTTTTTAGACAAAGTTTTTTCTTAATTTAATAAAAATGGAAGAGTGCAGAAACATAACACCTCAACAAAATATAAAATAAAAAATTGGCAGACATTTAGGCCAAAGTGCATGGGCAAAGATAAAAATCCTTGTCATTATTTTATCTTTGAGTTTTTTTTAAGAATGTGGGTAAGCAAGCAATTGGTCCCCAGTTATTTCCAGTGTGGACGTGCTTAGGTTTTGTGTCTTCTAAACAACAAAAGTGCAGTGATCCTAATACTGAGCCCTGAGTCACTCCTCCAGTCCTTATGTTATTGTTTATCTGAATGAAGCCACAAATTCTTGTAGTCATGTGAAGTTTTTTGCTGATCACAAGCAGAACTTTTGTTTGACCCTTCTAACACATTTCCAAGCCAGTGAAGATTCGCTTGGATTGTAAAGGCATGCCTATTCAAGAGGAAAATGCGTACAGCAGAGAGAAGAGTTGCTCCCTGTTTGGAAGAGCTTTTAGATCAGTGTTCCCCCTTTGGGAGTCACTGACTTATTTGCACTAACAATAGCACTGTAACAGTGATTTTTATTATGAACTGAGTTTAAACTTGCAGTTTATCTGCTCTCAGTAATGGGAACTAGAGAGAAGACAGAAGAGAAAACATCCCGTGTCTTGCTGTGATGTTTCGTTCTCAGGCTTTTAGAGTGCAATGTAATCTGCCTGAGCAACGTATTCCATTATACATTAAAATACCCCCCAAAAAAGTTCCAAACCAGCAAATTGTTTACAGTGCAAACAGGAGGTCTGTATTTATTAAACTATGAATTACTGGGCAACCCAGGGTTCAGACATTCCTCTTCAACTGAGTCCTGTTTTTTTATTTTAATGGGTGCCACATGAATGCTGCAGTTTTGAATCAGACATTTGCGTTCCAGAATTTGGTTTTCATTATGTTTGTTATTAAAAGCATCCCTGTTTACCCTTCAAGCTCACTGCTATTATTACTCTACACTAATTACTAATGTGTTGTGTCAGAACAGGAATAAAAATTATGGTGACCCATTGAACTTGCATATTATTATAGTCCTAATAATAACTACTAAATGTATAGTACATACTAAAAATATCAGATTGTCTTGGGGGTCCGTTGCAAATAAATTATTTATGATAAATTTTTGTTTATAAGATGTTAGATAAACTGAGGGACCGCTGGATGAACACAGGTCTGTGGGACAAGTTTGAGGAGCGGAAGACTGTAATTACTGAGCCACGTGGTGGTGGCAAGGGTGATTTTGATGAGTTGCTGCAGACATACTACGAGGCCATCAGAGGAACAGCAGCCAATGGTGAAAACAGAGGTTAGTGTTGATTCATTCCAAATGCCTTGTTTAAATGTGTTGGCTGTGTGTTGATTATGATTTATTTTCCCAGATGGAGCACTGCTGGTTGCGTTACTGAGCCACGTGGTGGTGGCAAGGGTGATTTTGATGAGTTGCTGCAGACATACTACGAGGCCATCAGAGGAACAGCAGCCAATGGTGAAAACAGAGGTTAGTGTTGATTCATTCCAAACGCCTTGTTTAAATGTGTTGGCTGTGTGTTGATTATGATTTATTTTCCCAGATGGAGCACTGCTGGTTGCGGTTTGCAGAGGGAAGGTTAGCGAGGGCTTAGACTTCACCGATGATAATGCCAGAGCAGTGGTCACTATTGGTATCCCATTCCCCAATATCAAAGACTTGCAGGTAACGGTCTGCAAAAATCATATGACAGTTATAATTGCATATACTGTATTTGGCATGTCTATGAAGTTTCTCAATTGTAATCGATCTCATGAGCCATGTTCAAATTTATCAAAAATAGTAGATTTAATTAATGGAATTCTGTAATAACATGGCATTATGTGCATTATTCCTAAAGTCACTATAATGTCTGACCTTGAAAAATCTATTGCTTTAGTAGTTGTTCTAGTCAACCGGAGGGGAAAATTTTGTTTTGGTTGGTTTTTTTCCCCCCCTCAAGATGGTTCAAAACCATCTAAGTGGCTTCATGAGCTGTGAACTCATGGTAGACATTCCTATTAGAGAGTAACTTTGCTAGGCTCGCCTAATCTTTTTATAAACTGACTGAAAACTTTTTCACATTTCTTCATCCTCATTTCAACCCTAAAGTATCATTTGTCCTCTCATATGTGTTCATGTTTAAAAAAAGTTACTTTGTAGGCAGAACATCAGTTCCCCCCTTGCTGTGATCCGTAAATTAATTCAATAGTGATTGTGCTGTATTCTGCCTGTCCTTAGCAGATAGACCTGACCTTTAAGCTTCCCCCTCTGTCTACCTTGCTGTCAGAGTCTGTTGAAGCTCTCCTAACTGGGTCTGTCACCGTGGGGATTTGTACAGATGATTGACACTTCCGAGCCCTTCACCTTAGCGGAAGCTGTTGGCATGGTTGTACCCTTACCTTTGGGGAAGGCCTTTGATTTTTTTTCACTTCTGCTCCAGTGGAGTCCGATTGAGTTTGCCATTTTGGATGAGTTTTGGAGGGTTCTGAGGTAGGTTTTAATCATGTGGCTTGTTGTGGACAAGCGATGAGTTGATGTGCCAGAGGGGGTGAGGAGCAAGGAGGCAGGGGTTTCTAGTGCACCTGGCCAACCATAATGCTTCTCCTTGTCTCAAATGCCACATGAAGTGGTTGACAGCACTCAAACGTGTTTGTTTGCTGCCCTCGATTTCCCCTCAATACATCCCCCATCGACACGGGTGATGCTTTGCCTCATTTGCCTAGTGCAGGTTAAAAGATGAAGGATGATGTTTCGACTCTTTCTTATCCTAAACAGAGAAGAGAGTTTGCTGGAACCTTTGCTACTTGTGAAATTAGAATTATTTTTGCAGTTAATAATAATAATAATAATAATTCATTACATTTATAAAGCGCTTTTCTAGGTACTCAAAGCACTTTACATTGTCAGGGGGTATCTCCTCATCCACCACCAGTGTGTAGCATCCACCTGGATGATGCGACGGCAGCCATAGTGCGCCAGAACGCCCACCACACACCAGCTTATTGGTGGAGAGGAGACAGAGTGATGAAGCCAATCAGTAGATATGGGGATTGTTAGGAGGCCATGATGATCAGAGGCCAATGGGCAAATTTGGGAAAAATCCTGGGATTTTTAATGACCAAAGAGAGTCGGGGAATAAGTCTCTCTGCAAATCATCTTCAACGCATCTTTTTATCAGGATTCTCACAGTGATGATTGCCAGACCTAAGAAAGTCAAATGCCATTGAAATGTTAACATAAATATGAAAATGAAAATATGCTTAAGGCTGCATTTTTGTGTAAATATACAATAAAAACTCTAATATTGTAAAATATTATTAGAATTTAAAATAACTTTTTCTATTTTTCTATTACAGTGTAATTTATTCCTGTGATGACAGCTTAATGGTTAGCTAAAGGTTAACTTGATTTTCAGCAGCCATTACTCCAGTCTTCAGTGTCATTGCTGTTTTTGTAACAGTATAAATTTATTTACTGTCACTTTTGGTCAGTTAAATGCATCCTGAATAAAAGTAATTGAGCAAAAGTAATTGAATAAAAGTAGAGCCCGACCGATATGGGTTTTTTGGGGCTGATACCGATATTAGGGAGTAAAAAAAGGCCGATATCGATATATCGGCCGATATTCTTTGTGTATATTATAGTACAGTACCAGTCAAAAGTTTGGACACTTTCCCATTCGTGTGTCCAAACATTTGACTGGTACTAACTATATATATATGTATATATATATACTGTATATATATATATATAATACTGTGCCGAGAGCCGTGGGAACGGAGTGAGGCCGGTGGAGAAAATGCTCATGCACGACACCTGCGCCACTCACCGGTCTCGAGTCCCACAGAGGGGCTCCGGAAGGATAAAAGGAGGAGTGACGACAGTGTTGGATGAGAGAGGACCAGGCCTGGACTTTATTTTGTGTTTTGTGTGCGGCAGTCGTCCGCGAGGGGCTGCCGCTTTACTTTCGTTTTGTGTTTGTTTATTTTATTAAATTGTTTAAATGTCCGCCGGTTCCCGCCTCCTCCTTCCCGAACTACAAACTTTGTTACAAATACAGTATATACATAAACAGAACATATACATCAACACATTTTTTGCAATGATCACTCAAATGTGGTGATCAAACACTTATAATGACGTGACATTTAACAATTTAACAATAAACTTTATTATCCAAAATGAGTCTGACATCAGTGCACTGAACAGTAAAGTTGAAGTTTATTCAATTCCATTCAACTTTATTCCGTTGAAGTTTATTTCACTTTGGAATAGGCATGGGCCGATTACCGGTTTCAAGGTGTACCGCGATTTGAAAATTTCACGGTTTCAAAACCGCTAATATTTTCCGTTATACCGTTCCTGCGGTATGCGCTGTTTTTCCATGTGTGTAGGAATCCCTCCAGATGAGTGCAGTGTTAGAGCGTACCACGCCCCCTCCCCCTCCTGTTGATGCAAGCGAGCAGTCAGTCACGTGTGTGTATGACAGCCGAAGGAGCTTCCTCTGGAACTTACGCGATCGGCAACCGGCCGTTTATTGTTTTATTGCAGCCGATCTCTGTTCTGGACTTGCACAAACTGCGTTGCAATGCATATCATTTTCCAAATGTCATTTATGTGAAAATATGAAGTCAAAATATGAAGAAGTGTAAACGCCCGTTAACACAGGCCAGAGACGCTGAAGACGGACGCACAGAGAAAAATACTGTAGCAGGCAGATCACTCACTGTTCATGATGCACAATGATGCAAGTTCAACTATTAGTAGAAAATCCTAAATATTGATTTGGGGGTTTAAATGAGTGTTTCTGAGGGGAACTGACTGTCTTCAGAAACGTTTAGATGGTATTTTCTTTTCATCTCGTATAATTCACATTAAAGCAGTTTCAGCGCAGCTCTGCTTTGTTTACTGCGATAACCAAGGAAACGCTATATCAGCGCCTCCTGCTATCAGAGAGTGAATCTGCGTCCCATTCAGAGCTTCGCTTTTTGTTTCGTTCAGGCATGTAGTATAATTTCACAAA